TTGGAAACTGTTTGATGAATTATGACATCCCTAGTATTTTAGTTTTCTGTGCAAAACATCACAAGACCACACAAATCTGATCAACCACTTCCTGTTATAAGTTATAAAAATTACATTGTTAGTTTTTTAAGTGTGATGGAATAAAATACACAAATTACATTCATGGCCTGGGTTGTCATTTACTAACGCAGGGACTTTGATTATTTTAGGGTGCAGTACCAAAAGGAAATGCAACCAAAGAGATGATTCAACAGATGGGTTTTCGAGAAGGTCAAGTGATATTTAAGTGTCCAAAATGTTGCAGTATTAAGCCTGAACGTGCTCATCATTGCTCAGTATGTCAGCGGTGAGAGCTAGAACCTCTTTATACAGATTTTACTAGGATATAAATCCACCAATTATATTACATATCAGAAAAACTGTGTTGACATTTACTCAGTAATGATAGTATGATATTTTCAAATCTTTGTTGCAGATGCATTCGCAAAATGGATCATCATTGTCCATGGGTGAACAACTGTGTTGGTGAGAACAATCAGAAGTATTTCGTACTGTTTACTGTAAGTTGACATTTCTGTTATTTAATGCCTTGTATATTGTAGAGCTTGGCATGATAGTCATGGGTCAAAGGCTTAGAAGTTTAAAATTAATGTAATTAAATTTAAATAAAGAACCAACCCTTACTCAGAATTCATGAGTATGTGTACAACTAACAGTTCATTTTTGCTGATAGATGGAATAGTGATTATTGATCTGAATGTCTTCATGTATTGTGTAGAGATAATATTAAAATGGATCTTAGAAATTGGGTTGGAGGATGTGGACTGGATTCATTTTACTCATAATATGAACCAATGGTAGCTAATGTGAACAGAGTAATGGACCTTAAAGTTCAATAAAAGATGGGACATTTCTGGACTAGATGAGCAACTATTAGTTTCTCAGGAAGAACTCTGCTCTGTGGAATTTAAATTGTGTCTGCGTGTGTGCAGTCAGTTGGTTTTTTCCCCCCTGGTTATCAAAATTATATGGCACTTGTAAGGTTTCTTCCTTATCAATTGATCTTTTTTCATTGCGTCATCTGTGCCTGTGAACTTCAATGATGCGTGGGCATTAAAAAAACATTATCTTTTGATTTATATTACATGATGTAACTTGTTTTTTGCCACTGATGATGACCTATTGAGGTCGAAACGTGTTTGGCATTAGTGCTCTTCATAGTGTAAACAGTTTTGCTTGTATGCATATTTTGTATTTATATCTGTTTTCCCTTAAACACTTCTATAGGTATTTAGAATTTATGGTTAGGGATATTGTGTGATTGTTTAGAAAGTAAAATCAAGTAATACATGTGATCATGCCTCTTGTTCTTATTTGCAGTTCTACATTGCAATGATCTCAGTTCATGCACTGTTCCTGTCATTTAACCAGTTCATCATGTGTGTACGTCATGAATGGAAGGAATGCTCGTCATATTCTCCACCAGCAACTGTGGTCTTGTTATTATTCCTAGTGTTAGAGGCTCTCCTTTTTGCTATTTTTACATCTGTGATGCTTGGAACACAGCTTCAGGCTATATGGAATGACGAAACGGTAAGGACATTTGAAAGGTGCCTGCCATCAGTTGCAGCAATAATAGGATGTTTCTGGTATTTGTAAAAGGATGAGTTAATCAATACACCATGTGGTTAGCTTCAGGAAGTTCTGTGACAGGAACTACTTCTCAAATTAGATTATACTAAGAAGCACATGGATGCAGTTGCCTTTAAAATCTGTCGTTCAGCAACTGCACAGTTCTGATACCATTTGTACAGTTGTAGAAAGCAGTGTGCAATCTCATGCAAAACAACTTTTACCCGGTGTCCTACGTGAGCGACAGAATGCGAGCGGTGCGAGTTGTGTGGGTGAAGCGGAAATATCAAACTGGCTGTTTGTGTGGAGCTGTCCTAGGTTACAGCGAAGTGGTCAGGAGAGGGAAGCGGCCAAAGTCCGAGATCAAATATTTTGATATTTTCGCGCGAATCGCAGTGCTGGCCGGGAAGGCGCATGCACAGGAGAGCTCTGACCCAGTACAGGGAAGGCTCTTGCGCTGGAAAGTTGTGTGCGCTGCACCTCACAATGGCAGAAACGTTAGCGGAAGTTATAATTAGTGAAGTGAAAAGCAGACGCATTCTTTGGGACATGAAACACAACAGTTATCATAATCGGATGCTTGTGGACAGGGAATGGAGCAAGATCGCAGAAAATGTACGAGAAACAAGTGAGTATTTTTTTCAAATTTTTTTTGACGTAAATACGTCTATAAGGAAGGGTCATTCGGCAAAAAAGTGTAACAATGGTTACCTAGGGAACGTCGTCTGTTTATTCGGCATTATTGTTACCTACGAAATGTCATCTGTTTACTCGGCATTATTGTTACCTAGGAAACGTCATCTCTTTACTTAGCATTGTTGTTACCTAGGCAACGTTCCATTACATTTCATTACATTACATTAAAATACATTACTTTACATTACATTCATCTACCACAGACCCATCTTAAGCGTAACTAATTCAAGTTAAGCATTCAAGCATTTTTGTTGTAATCGAATTGATCCCTAATAGCATTTGCAATGTAATCTAATGTGCTAGGGAGCATTCTTGCATACTCGTAAAACAGTTTTGGTCCTCTGGAATTGCTTCTGAGTTGCTCAAACAAGTGGTGAAATTCACCATACAATTCCCTCCCCAAGTAAATGGTGTTTGTTGGTGATCTTTTCCTTTCGGCTGCCTTCCTTTTCCTAACTATTAACGTTTTCAAGAACGCACTTTCTGTGAGCAAAAGGTCACGTTTACCTGACCAAGCCATCGTGGATACTAATGTTGAACGCGTCTTCCCCCCCCCACCCCCGGTCTCTCACGTAGGACACAACAAGCGATTACCTCGCTTCATATGACACCGAGGCTGCTTATACAGCTCGCTTCTTATCGCTTACGTAGGACATTGCCTTAAGCTTTGTGAGTCCCTGCTACATCTTTGAAATTATTATTTGTCCAGGGACAATGTCAGAACCTATTAAACTTATCAGTACAATAATTCTTAAAAATCAGTATTAGTATCAGGTGAGTTTTATGACTGATTTTTTAACTGATGTACCATATTATCTCACTTAGATTATTTGAAATTAAGTATGTTAACTTTTACTGTGTATATGACCATCTTGTGTGTCTCTTCTTGGATAGGGAATTGAACAGCTGAAAAAAGAAGAGGCACGTTGGGTGAAGAAGTCTCGATGGAAGAGTATTCAGGCAGTATTTGGACGCTTTTCACTTGCATGGTTTTCACCATTCACACGCCCACCACCTAAAACCAAACTTGAGAGTTACCTGTACTCAGTGTGAGGTAACTATATTTTATTCTTTCTTTTCTTTTTAGTGGGATATATCTTAAGGACTGATTTTTGGTGATTATGTATAGATTCTTGATTTTGCTCTTGTGGAGTGAGTGGGTGGTGTTGCTACTAATAACCAACCCAGCAACTTCTCTTGCCTAAAAAAATTGTCATTTTCTGTGATTATAAGTTGAATCTTGTTAATGTGAGACTAATTATGATTTTAATTGGTTTATTTGATCATTGCTGATGTTGCTAACTAAACCCAATAGTTGAATATGGTCCAAAATGTATGAAACACACATTTCTCAGCTTATTATGTGAAGCTTGGTACTTGATGGATATTCATTACATTCCAGTTGGTGCTGCAACAATGTCATAAGACTTGCTTCTTGTGTACTACTGTAATATTACAGTCTATTGTTAATCTGAGTATAATGAACTTAAACCTTGAGGTGATGTCTTCTATCTTCATTTGAGTCATTAGCAGGTTTTGATGATCACAAATAGAAATGCTTAAGCAAAGTATTACGTAAAGTCAAGTTTTCAGCTATGTTCAAGTTAGAAATAAAATATAAGTGACTTGGTACTGTAAGCAGTGTATTTGTTTAAAGTAACATGAAGTTCTTGTTACGTTAAACTTTTTTCTTCAGTTAACAATCACATAATGGAATGTAATTGTGCCTTATAAAAATTTCTGGCTTATGAAAGATATTAACATTGTTAGCTCTAATATTCTGAAGGAAAATTTACAACTGTTGGTAGATTATGTAATAATGTAAACGAGAGTGGCTGCAGCATATATAAACATTCTCTACACTCTTGTAACATTTATCATACATCTTAGAAGACTTCATAAAAATATGCATGTAAACTTACATGAATATCTTATTAAAAGCCCATAACTTTTTATTTAATTTCTTTTTGTGTACATTGTATGAAATGGCAACTATATTTTAGTGGTTTTAATGAACTGATATGAATGGAAATGAAATGTAGGCCCACTTGACTTCAGCAGAGATCTCCTCTACCAAATGTAATGCAAATTATTGAAATGAATTTGGAATTGAAATGTATGGACAGATGTGACTTGACGTGATTGTTGTTTTATATATTGCATGTGGAAAGTTATTAGTGAATAGGCATTTAGGTCCAGTAGACACAGATATTGAATACTAAACCCCCTAGTCACTTTCTTCTGCCCGACAAGGATGCAAATATGTTTCACATTGGATTTTGCACTAGTATTTCTGGTCTACATTCATTCAGCTGTTTGGCAGCCAACTCTTTGAATCCAGTGTTGTTATGAATGATTCTTTACGTAGATCCATTATATATTCATGTCTAATCAGAATATAGTCCCCAGCATGGCAAATATTAACATCATTGACAGCAATGTACTATGTGCCAGTTCTGGCATCAGGAATGGACTTCCAGTCTTTTCAGATATGTCAGCCCTTCAGATTTTCAGATTGCTAGCAGTGAATTTTAACACTGGAAATTTCTTCAGCAGCAAGCAAAACTATAAACCTGCTGTTCATTTGCCTGCCCCATTGTTGTCTTGAATAAGAATACAAATAATTGACTTCTGATATTCCTAATTCTGTCACTAGATATCATGCACGCAGAACAGAATGTATTAGGATCTCATTATTTCATTCAAACCACAATTCAGTCCTGGATTTTATTGTATGCTCCTTGTAGTCCATATGACACAATCTTTAATGAAATGCATTGAGTGAAGTGTCACTGGAGAAGATACAACTGTTCACTTTTAGGGTATGTATGTATTTTTTTACTGTTTGGATCAGAGGATGTTACTAGTTATGTACATTTGAACCATTTATGCATTTTGTGTTTCTTGTCATTATATTCAGTCATTTGTGACAGATGACTTGTTAGCTGCCATAGATAGCTCTCTTTAAGACACGGTAAGGTAGTCAGTTATAGCAACTGATGCTATAAGGTCAGTGCAGTATGACTGGAAATTTTGAGCAGTGAGTGTAATTCGGACTTCAGCTAAACACATTTGTGCATATTTTGCAGTTGTTCTGCTATCACTGTAAGAGTAGCATTAGGTTTTTTTACACATCTTATGAACAATAGGTCCTACTTTTATTGATCACAAAGCCATCAAGTCTCATATTTAAAAAACATCTGCATTTTGAGCTGTAAAATAAGCTTCTAATTTCTAAGTACTATGTTTAGAGTATTTTAAATTTATTGAATGGGTGTTTCATTTATAACTCAATATAAGTTATAAAGTTAAGTTTGTGCCTACTTCCTAACTAAATGGACAAGCATTATTGATTGCTGATTACATTTTATTGTGCTTTAGAAACCTACAATCATGTGAGCTAGCATTATTTTTCATATGTTAATATGAAGAATAAAGCTGAACATGCCATTATTTCATAGCAGTGGTGACTGTTACAAAATTGTGAATTTTATGCAAAATGTTTTATATATTTCTAAATTGGCTTTTATTAAATATCTGATGGCCTACAGGCAAAATATTGAGCTGGTGCAGTACTAGAGATATGCCATATGCAGTGCAAATTTTTTGGTGTTTTATCTGTTACCATTTACAAAGTGAGACTCTTGTCAATGTGCAGAATACCAGGCCTCCACTATGGTTCTGTGACTCTGAGTCTACATTAAGCTAAATGTCTCTGCAGGATATCACAGTATTACTGGGAGCAAACATAATCTTGCCGTATGGTCACTTCCAGCTGTTGTCAGGGAGACGGAGGCTAAGAACGTAAAAAAGACTGAAATAAGACACATTAAAAGAAAACCAGGCTTTCAAGCTGTTATATGTTGTTGTTCATCAGTGAGAATTGGAGTTCTTAAGGTAATGAAGTTGGCAATTTTAGTATTCTGGGTTGAGGTGCCTTCACAACTCAGAAAACTGCAATTTACATTGTTTGTCATTGATATTATAACTTACATTACAGCCTTCTGGAGGTCTGTCATGAAAGAAACATCTACTTTAATCCACATGTCATGTTTAATTCTGTGTGGAATTAACACCCTAGCAGCTTTTAAAATAAAAGCCTGAAACAAGGAAATGTTGCATTACAGCTTTCCATGCATTGCTGTGGCATACCACTAAACTTTTAGTCCTAGAGTTGAAGTCTGCCCAGCAGCCTTGTAATATGTGGTTTAAAATCAGTTTTCCCATGAAGGTTAATGAAAACTATTCAACTGTTTTATGTACGTATGAGTGTAGGTTATTTTAAATTCACATACTGGTGCCAGTTTTGGTTTGATTTATAAATGTTTATGTGTTATGTTAGTGATATGTGGATTTTATCAGAACTGTGATAACATTAGCACTGCTGTTTTAAAATCAAATTAAATGGAAAGTAGGACTCTGTATGCCTCTCTAAATCCATGTAGCTTTTCAATGGATGATGAAAGTTAAAATAATTGTTTATGTGTAGATGCTTTTGATTAGTGGAAAACAGTAATTGATTTTGTGATGCATGGTGTATATGTGAGGTGGAAATGGGAATGAATTTATTCTTTTTGGTGTGATAAATTGAATCAAATGTTGATTACCTCAGTGGGATCTATTTTTGGCCAAACAATTTTTAAGGCACACTTGGAAGTGATAATAAATGCATACAATATTTCAGTTGGAAAACATCCCCCATGTTTTCAGAAATAAATTAAATATGTGTGGACCTCAAGGAAAGCTTTGAAATTACATAATACATAGTTATGGCTGGTATTTAACATTGTTGTTCTTCTTTAGTAGCTTGTTCTAAGTGATACTTTGTGTCTGTAAACTATGTGTTTTTGTTTTAAATATTTACTGAGCTGTGGAAGGGATAGGAAGGTAATGTAGGGAAGAAGGGAAGGCAGTAAAGATACAAGAGGCTCAAAGGAAAACAAGAAAAAGGATGGTAGCTGATTTTACAGAAAAAATCACTCCTTTTTGAATTGCAATGAGTTTTTTATGCTAGTATTTATATAATTTTCAGTGTTTACATTGATAATTGTTATAGTAGAGGAAAAGGACTTGATGGATAAGAAGTTGCATTTTAAGCCATATCTCATAAAGTTTATGTAAACTAAATGAAAACCTTATGAAACTAAAAAATTATAAAAGTTTGTTTTTATTCATTCCCACTTGTGTTATTAGAACATATTATTACTTTACCATGTAATACTTTTGACATTTTTATCGCCTGAATTGTTATACTGCATTATGAATTCACCCTTTTAATAAGTAATGGCGAGTGAATTGTTGCAGCCATATTTGAAGCCAGTGAAAGGAAATTGATCCCTGATATGAAGCATGATTTGGTCTGAACAACACCAAATTGTATGAGGTAATTAATTATATATGAAAAGTATATTACAAAAAGAAAATATGTAATGACTATAACAAATGTTGGAAATAGCATATATTTCATGTTTTCCTGAATGTGCTTCTGTTTTAGAATAGTCTTCAGTATTTGCCTTGAAGGTACAGTGAATAATATGATATGTAATACGAGGATCTTTGTTAATATATTTCTGAATACCTATGCCATTGTTTTACAAAGTGTAGTATGTGTACCACTGGTGGTACGCAAAGGGATTTCTTGGGGTCTGTGGTGGAAAAGAAATAATTAAGAATTGTTTCAGAGTTTTATCTGCTGTCAGACAAGCTCTGGTATAAAGAAAATTGAACAAATTTGTTAATACTGATAAAGCTCATAAATTTTTGTTCATTTTTAACTTACCATGTAGCCTATTTTTTAGTTTGTACCTGAAGCTTAATCTCAATGTAATTCAGCCACTTGCAAGTTAACTTATTGTGATATAATTGAGAGAGAGGATGCATTGATAAGGCAGAGATCTTGAAAGGGGCTTGCAAATTTTTTTAAGTTTTGTAAATACTGCTGTATGCTGTACTGTTTAATATTATGACATGTATCCCAACTTTATTAAATATTTCCATATGTAAGATTCAATCCTACATGAGAGAAAGTACTTAGAAAAGTGTGTATATAAAATGTAATTTCTTTATTTTTATATGATTGCTTGATAGTTGTGATTCTACATGGGAATTAATTTGCAAGTTCTGTACATTATTTTCTTTTTATTGTTGGTGATCCCGCACAGAAAATAGTGAATTGTGGCAATTGATTTTGCTTTTAAATTTACTTCATGTTTGATAATGCGTAGAGGTGCAATTAGCTGTAGTAGATGCTGCTGCTACTGCTATTATAATGCATGGAAATTTCAAAGGATTGAACTAATTTTTTTGGGATTATGAATTTACATGTTACGAACTATTAAAGTATTATAGTTCATTCTGAAATAAGAAAAAGAATGGGACTGAAACTTGAAAATGTTTAAGAAATATTTTATATTGTGTAGAAAAGAAATAGAGGAGTAACATTCAAGTAATATGTGCAAGTTAAGAGTAAATGTTAATACCGAGTACCAGGGGAAGAGAGACAACAGAGTATGTCAGGAATGGTAGACTAAACTGTGGTGTATTGCACTTAATAGGTTCATTAAATGATCTAGTTAGAGTATCAAGTGGCAAGGGTGGATTTCTGTGAATCAGAAGACAGATATTAGAATCTGATAAAGTATTATGTGTACTGTTCAGGTATCCTTGGGAATGTAAATGAATGGCTTATCCTTTTATTTACTTTGTGTGTGTGTGTGTGTGCATGTATGCATGCATGTGTATATATATTACTGATTGTAACAACAACATTGTAGATTATTATTGTTTACTGAAAATGAAATGTAAAATAATTACCCATGTTCAACTGGGTAAATTTTTTGTCTTGTTAATATTATAAAACATATATTACAATTGAAGATGACTGTCTTCTTTTATGTTGTGTCATGTACTCTTGTAGAAATTTACTGATGTTTGAGAGGTGCTTTCTGCCTTTGTCATCAAGACAACAACACAACATCCCAGAAGACAATCATCATTAATCATCTTTGTTGACACACTGAAGCCACTAAAGCAGTGTGCTGAAGTTGCAACACTTTATATTTTCCCAAGTGTACAGTTATTACTATTTATTACACTACCTTTCTTTTCTTAATTGAATTGGAAATAGTATTTTAGGTGAAGTGAAAACCCTTTTGAGCACATATTAAAATTGCTTCATTTATCTGTCCATTCACATGAAACAACTTGAGAATGAATAAACTGATTTTGAAGAAGTTTGATATTAGCAAGTTGACCAAAAATTGTCAAGTCTCTTCAGTTTTAATTTATAGCAGACAGTTTCAATAACCATTTTATGTCAGGTCATAAATATATCATCTTATCACTATAGGTCATTATACATAAGTGCTTCACTTATTTTAATAGAAGATTGCAACAGAAAATAAGAGAGTCATTGTATTTCTTCTGGTTAACATACCTCATAATATATATACTGTGTACATGTACAATCTTTCTCCTAAGGCTGATTTCTCCAGTTTTGGAAATACAGAGGAGATAATTTTTATTCATGTATTTGTAGTTTATTTAACGGTGCTCTCAATAACGTAGGCTATATAGTGTCAGATGATAGGGAGGTTAATGATTTGGAAAACATATGGAAGGAAGTGGTTTAATGTAAGGTACTTTACCATCATTTTCTTGGAGGGACTGAGGAAAACAGTGAACCTCAGTTACAATAGCTGGTCTACGGTCCAAGATTTGAATGTGAGACCTCCCGAATATGAAGCATTTTAATCACTCTTCAATGATGTTTGATATAATAATGTAACTGTTCTTTTCATAATTTCCAACAGTGATGTCTTCTCAGTCAGTAGCCATGTCAGTGTCAAAATGTTTTCCATAATTGTATGTCAAGCTCCTGAAATTACTACACTGTTAAAATCTTATAAGTTTCACCACTCCTTTGAAAACAGAATGAAAAGGCACTGGATATATAGGATTTAAATCACACGTATTTTGAGTGTGGTATATTGATTGCCAAGTAAATAATTAACTCAATGAATATATCAGAATTTTGATTAGTAGCACTAAACTTGAATGTTATATGCATTTTGTTTTCATTATTTCTGTGCAGGCTGTGAACATTTGATAGCATACTGCATTCAGTGAGAATGCAATTGCAATAAATAAAACAAGATGAGCGTTTATAATAATGAACCTGCCAGTAACAAGATATTCATCCACTAACAGGTCACTGAACAGCATTTTTCATACCATCATACTTTACATGTTGTTGTTTTTGTTTTTTTAAATTTCTTGCTGCTGGTTGCTGCATTTGTAGAAAGGATATATTGCACCTTACTGTATACATTTTGTTTTTGTTCAAAGATATAATGGGGTTTAGTGTTATGAAGTAAAGGAATTTGAATGTACTTTGAATTTATTTTGTGGGTGTTTTGCTTGCATATGTTCAGTGTTTGCATGAAAGTGCCTAACTCAGATGCAGAATACCTGTAAAATATCGTATGACATACTGGTATTATCCTGATGCTTGATTTTCATTCTGTAAGATATTTAACAGGTGTCAGCTAGCTTTTTTTTTTTGCCATTTTTCTACAAATTTGGATTTGTTGGTACCGGTGATTTTAGAAGTGTAGAACTGTGGTACTGATTCTCCTTTTTTTTCATACTTGTATATTTTTAGCAGAATGCCTATCTTAATTTCAGCTCTGAGTCAGTTTGCTATGGAGCACCAGCAGTACTGATTTTGTGATCTGGTCTTCTGTGGTAGGTTATAAGGGATTAGAATAATGGAGTTACTTTACCAGTGCTGCAGTGCTCTTATTATGGAAAACTGATTCTTCATATCTCTTGCACCTCTTCAGTTATGAATTATGTAATTGAGAATGCTCAGGGATGATTGTATGAGTGTTTGGACCAAGAACTTGACAAGCTGTCTTCTTGCTTACAAACATGAAGCAAATGCATTAACAGTCTACCATTGTCATCTGTACTGAGGATTTGAATAAGAAAGTTCATTCTTGATGAATTCTCTGATTTATTTGGTCATTTTTTTCCTTGCCTAGCTTCTTTTTCTACTTTAGATATTTTTATAATGAACATGATTTACGTTATATTTTATATAACTTTGTAATGCATTAGTTCTTCTCATCATGTGTTCAGAGACTTGAAATAGTGGCATCCAAAGAAAATCACTGCCATAATCAACCGTTGTGAAAACCTCAAATCTTACATCATCAAATTTATTTTCTTGGATTAGCAAACATGACGCATGTATCAACCTCAGAATTCTATAAAGAAGATATAAAGTGAAGTCAGTTAATTAAAATTTATGTGAATTATTTAAGATGATCTGTAGAAATAAGGCTCATCACTAAAGAGAATATAATTATGACAAGGATGAACACTTCACTTATATTAAAGATTACAGTAATGAGGAATTATTTACTGCTTGTTGATATTTATGCTACTCGATAATAAATAAAAAATATACTCTGAATGAATAAGCAATCAATACGAACATTTGGTGAGAGGGCGAAGCTGGAGACAAAATTATAACGTAATTTAAACACGGGCAGAAGTGGATCACACTGTACGTCACATCATTTTATTGGTGACGTAACGATGTATGCATGATTCACCTTCGTTATTTTAAATCTGAAATACCTCTCTGTGTTTTTACCGTTGGCTACAATGAATATAAGGCGTGGCATAAATAAAATAATGGTTCCTGACCCGTAGAAAATAGTCTTAAGTACAGCATTTGTTTCTATTATATATTAGCTTATAATAAATTAAATTTATTTTGAGTTTCATATTTGAAATGTAAAGATACGTAAAGTTTTCGATTCGTTTTGTCATTTGATTGGCAGTTGTCCAAACAACATGGCATCTTTTCATGTGTGAAAAGTATTTGACATGGGGAGCAAATATATTTTGAAGCATAATGGGAGCTCTACGTTGGGTAAAATATTAAAATTATTCATGTCACGGCTGTTTTATTAGTTGGAACTTTATTATATATAGAAAGTGGTTCTTTCCTTTTAGTAACGTGTATGCTCTTCCCGAATGGATCAACGCCTATATGATGAGAGTGTCTTGGTTAAAAGTTTAAATATTATACTTCCTAAAAACAAAATGGTATAGTTCTCGAAATATTTAGTACAGTAAGACGTTGGTGACATTAAATAGTTGAGAAAGGGCCATTACATTGCATCTGTAAGAACTGTATTCCATAAATTAATGACGTTTTCAAATGCTTCCATGGTTTTGAATGCACATTTCTTTTCAGATAGTAATGCTGGAATAACTGGTTCATAGAATGACGGCAGTTATGGCAAATGGGAATTGGGATCCAGGTTGGTACAGATTCATATAATTTACCTAGACATTAAATTTTCTTTGAATTTATAGAACTTACATGTGTGCTTGGAACATTGTTATTATTGCTGTATTATGTGGTAAAATACTACCAAATAAATAATGATGAGTGCGTTTTAATCTGTTAAAATAGCAAATATGGGCAATGTTGTAAATCTAAACTGAATGACTAACTTTTGTGTACATTATAAGCACTTCAAAGATTATAGATTGGAGTGTAGTATGCAGTTTGGCTCCCCATCACACCATATTCTGGGCTGTCTTTGATTCACATAGTAATCCTTGTTGGGTTAAGTTTGGTTTGGTTTGTGTTCTGTTACGTTTAGTAATATTAGGTGGATGAAAATCATATTCATCACTTTTGTGATTAAAACGTGTAGCTTGTTAAACAAGCACTTATTCAGAATGTTTGTACAAAGCACTAGGTAGAACTTAAAAAAAGAAAGTAAGGTATGTGACTGAAAGTAAAAGCTGCATTGTAGCATATTTAACAAAAGACCAAATGGTTTGAGCTCTGTAAATGTGAAGATGGCTGTCTTCTGGGTTGTTGCTCCATGTAGTCTGGTAGTCTGCAAGTGTGTTAATGCAGTTTTTCTCCACTTCCCCTATATGTCTTTATGATGTGGTGCTAAAGCACAGGAAACCTTTAAAACCTTGTTATTGACAGAAAAAGAATTTTGCATTGAATGAATTGTCTATAGGGCGGAAATTTAAAATATTTAGGATAAAAAGTAGGATATGAAAATTGCATTCAAGAGAAAATTAAGAGCATTGTAAGTAAGATTTGAGGTTCTCATGGCAGTGAGTCCGAAGGTGGCTGTTTTCTGCCATGTAGTGTGGTAGATGTTTACCAATGTTTCAGGTGTCCTTGCTGCCTCCTTCCTCAGGACAGTGAGTAAACCACATGTGTGGTATTGGTTTGAGATATAGGAAACTGACAGTCAAGGCAAAGCCTTGGCCTGACCAGTAGGGAGTGGAGTTAGGATTGGACGAGGGACTGGGAATCAGTAGGAGTAGGGGGTATGCCACAGCCTGGCCAGCAGGAAGGGTAAGGGAATGAGAGAGAGAGAGGTCCGAGAAAACTGCTCTTATAAGGGTTTCTTAGGGTCCAGCAGGTGGATCACCAGACATGGGGGAGATGGGTGGATGTGATGAGGAGGAACAAGGAAAATGGAAATGACTGGCCGAGGTCAGGTTGTGTCCTGAAAAGGACAGTCTAGTGGCCCAGTCAGGACTGATGGTGCTGTGTCAGATGCTTCCTACGTCCTTCAAGAGAGTGGATGAGCGGCTGCTATGACTGGCTCAATTGAAAGCCATCCTCCCTGATTATCCAGTCCATGTATCTGGATTTGGTGGACAGGACTGTTTCCCTGGAGTTAATGCAGTGGCCCAGTTTAAACTCTGTTTGGCCACAGTGGATTTGTCTGGATGATCCAGCTGGATGTGGTGCTCCTTAAGAGCAGTTTAGTTACAGAGACTATTGCTGCTATTCAGTTCAGAATATGTTGTTGTCCCATTCTCATTCTGAAAGTATAAAGATTAACAGAACTATACTTAATCTTTTCTGTGTTTTTATGGCCATTGAAACTTGATATCTTACTTTAGAGCAGGTATTTTCAACTTGTGGCATATTGAAATGCTTTGTTAGGTGCACATATATTTGTTGTGGTATTGCATCTTCCTCTGTGATGAAAAGTAGTACCCCAGTGTCAGGAAACATGCTTTGTCAGTGTTGTCATTCGACAGTACCTATTGCTGTGAGCAGCTACTTAGCTTGATGGAGAGAACAAGTCAAGTATTAGAATGCATCATACTGGTGAAAGTGTGGAATTAGGTATGTGAATTACAGCAGAAATTTAATTTTATATTAAAAGTTTAGTGAAGCAAATGTAGTGTCAAACATCTCACATTTGAATCTCGTTTGAACAAAATGTTATACATGTGTCTGTAGTATATTGGTCTACCAGGAAGATGCTATCACAAGTCAAAGTACTGTCTACTACTATTACTATTACTATGTAGTCAATTTTCTGTGGTGCTATATTTTTAATTTTGTTACTTAGAATGAAGTTTTAATTGCTTGTCCTTTATAGCAGAAGCAGCTGATTTTGGCAGAGACACTAAGGAAATGCAAGCAATAACATTTCTGGCATGTATTGTGGGAAGTGTGTGATTAAAATCTCCACGTGGGCACCAATTATCATGACTTGCATTGTTGTCCTCAACCTGCCACTATATTTTCTTGAAATAGGCTGCAACTGTTTCCTCCTCAGTTATTTCAAGTAAAATTAATGCTGTCATCCTTTCATATTATATTACACTCTTTAACTTCTGTCATTGGTACAGCATTGTTAAGTAGCCTATGATCCTTCCATGTGGTAGTGGTCTTCTAAAGAGAGTATGCTCTGTGGCTTACAGACAGTTGACATCAAGTTGACTGTGGTAAGTTGCTCTTCTTGTCAGTGTTTATATTTTATTTAAATGATCAGACTATTGGCTGGATGACCACGGTTTGATTCTTAGTGGGAATGTTTCGGTTTCTGCCTTTGCATCTATTTTCAGAACTGCAGAAGGTTACCACCCTGCCTCATTTTCACTTTCATTGACTGCCATAGTTAAAAACATGCAGGGCTTTACTTCCACACTATATATTTTTATAGCGTTGTGCTAATCACATAGATAAATGTACCTGTATTTATTTAGACTGCTCTTGCAGTTCAATTTTGTTTTCCTTCACTTAAATAGAAGTAGTCCCTTTTCAAGTTTTATCATTTCCAGAAAAAACATACAAAGAAGACTAATTATTTATTGTGATGATAGAATCCCTATACTCATAATTTTTATTGAATCATATGTATTGAGATACTGTGTTCGTGTCTAACAGTGACACACATCTTTCTGTTGATTTAAATGGAAGATATTTATGCTCTTGAAGAATTCAGTTGGTAGTGTCTGTACTATTTTTCCTGATCCTCATGTTTATAATTAAAAATAACTTTTCATAGCCAGTTTTTGCATTTGTTTAAGGGATGCTTAGATACTGCAGTATGTAATAAATTATGTATTTGTTTTAATTGCAGCACTGTCCCGGCTTTTAGTGTCATTGGAAGAGGCCAGACAGTTTCTTCCAAGTTCGGAAGAAGAATTTGGTTTCCTAAGTGACTTATTGCAATCTAAAGAACTGCATGCCTTAGTAAAGGTTCATAATAAGATAATAAGCAATGGAAAAGATGAGAAATTTCATCCTACTCTTTCAAATTCAATGCAGATTGCATTGGAGGTTCTGGATGTAGTTGGGCCAAGAGTTGCTTTAAAAGAAGAATGCAAGGAAATTTTTTTGTTGCTCCAAAAACCTCACATTCAGGTATACTACAGCAAATTTTTGTTTCATGTTAAGTCAGTATAAACAACTTTTAACTTTAATGACCAAAATATAGTGTGGATACAAAAGAAAGCCTAATTTTTTCCTATTTTTATCTGAGGTGACAAACCAGACACCTTATTAAATTGAAGTATATGTGGTGCTTTTATATAGAATTTCTTGACATACTGGGGATACTGTTACCGACCCGTTCTTCAAGTGCCTGAGCACTGCGGGTCCCAAATTTACGTTGGCTTGATCTATGGACATTTGGTAGGACTCCTTGGATGAGGGATCGGCCCTTCGCAAGGCCTCTACCTGTACACAGGACAGTACAACACAGAAAAATGCGGACAGACATCCATGGCTTGATTGGGATTCGAACCCACGGTCCCAGCGACCGAGCAGCACAAGGCCCACGCCTCAGACTGCGCGGCCAATGCGGACGCCTATTTCTTGACATCCACAACATTTAATTTTAATTGCATGGATTTTTTCCCCCTCATAATTAAGAATGATAAATTGTGCTTAATTGAAAGAAGTAAGTGATTCTGTCTCAAATGTTTAGCAGTTATATGAAATTCTGTAAACAGTTTTCAACTTCTTAAGAAATAAAAAAAACTTCAAACAAAGAAAATATCTAACCAGAATACAGAATTTACCTTTTCCTAAGAAATTTTAGTCTTCATGTTTTCTTCAGCTGTGACTGTGAATTGTTTCATGTTTGATTCACTTAATTACACCAATTAGCCTCTTTTTACTTTCATGTTACATGCCCCAAAACTTTAATGAATAATTTTAAATATTTATTCTTAGGAGTGGATAAATGAAAGAAAAATTACCAGAACTTCAAATTTGAGATCCATCTCATTCTGGAAATAACTAAAAAAAATTGCGTATCTCTGTTACACCAGTCTGCCAGTAAAAATTGGAAAACTTTTGCTGTGTGCATCTGATCTGAATCTCTTCCATCAAGAAAACTTGATTATAGACAAGGCATTACAGTGTATTTTTTAAATACTGTTGATTAGAAACAAAGATTCCAACATCCATTGTAAGTTACAAAGTGCTTGATAAGCATAGTTTGAAATGAACAACATTTGAATGATATTTGGAATTGGAGAATATGTAAAACTCTTTTATCGTGTCTAATCTGTTTTGAATTAGAGTAATTCAAAACAGATTAGTTTATTGGTGTGAACAATGAAGCAAACTATCATCATTTTGTGAAGTGGTTAACAAAAATTTAAAGTAGCAAGATTACTGACATTTTGGATCAGCCCTTGACAATGAAAATGAAGCAAAAGTCCCTCCAAAACATGTTTAAAATCTGAACATGACTTTTGTGCTTGTTTATATGCAGGGTTTGCTCTGTGCCCATGATGCCGTGGCACAAAAGGACTATTTTCCACGACTGCCTGAAATACCACTTGAGGTGGATGAAGATGAAGAGACTATTAAAATTGTGCAACTGGTGAAGAGTAATGAACCATTGGTATGTTATTTTTGTTATATTCCTCATTTTGTGTTCTGTGCTATTTGAAAATATAAAATGTTTCCTTAAAAAGTTTTTGGTGTATTTCATGAAATTTACTTGAAATTATAAGAGATTTGAGAAAGTAGTTGAAATGTTGGCTGTGATCTGGGTTGTGAGGCCATGTGCTGTTCATATGGTTTACACCATTTCAGCGTATAAGTATGGAGGTGATATTGTTTTCCAAAATGTTGATAACCACCTGCAAGATTATCACAACTCTGGAAATCACAGTCCATTTAGTTGAGATATTTAGATGTAATTAAATTGTTACAACTTTTGGTTATATACAGAGTGTAATTTATTTATTTCCATTTCAGTTTGTGAATTGTTAACAAGATTTTCATAAATATTTATGTCTTTTTTTCTCTTTGTCTCTCATCAAGTATTTTTCTTGTCTGTTCCTCATTCTGACTTGAGAGTTGTATCTGTTTTTATAATAGTGAAAACTGTCTTCATCACTTCAAGAATACTGTTGTATATACCGTATTTATCATGGTTTGATACCTTAATTATCAGTACATGTACATAAATAGTTGATCAAGGTTTTTAGTTATAAATTTCATGTTGCTTTAAAAGCTTTTATAAATCTCTACATCTATTCTTTTCATAACTTGCTTGCACAGAGTGGTGCCCAAACTGTTGAGCCCATTGTGGTAAGTTTCTCTGTCCTGCAGTGGGAGATTTCACTCTTCAGAATTTTCTGTATTTGTACCACTGTTTTTTTCATTGTTCCGTGCATTTGGTTGTACTATTGAATTGTAGTTCAATCTGTCCCCTTGATCTTCCTGAAATACTAAAAAGCAGTGGTGAATGTTCTGGTCTAAATTTACTACAGTGTTTATTAACTTCATATGCACCAGGTCAGTGAAGTGGGTTGTTTAACTGGGCAGCAAAGGTCTCAAAACTACTTTTATACATGCATTACCAGAAAAACAGAATGCAGTTCTGATAGTTCTAACAATGTCTGCCATCCAAGTTTCACATGACCTAACCTCTACACCAGGATTCACTGCTGCTAAAGAGTTTTGTCCTGGCACTCTTCCTAAACAAAACCTTTTTTCAATACATTATACAGGGAGAATTTTTGACTTCTGAGCCAGGGTGCAGCCTTTCCACTATGTGCAAACACTGTTGGTTGCTATCTTCCCTAGTCAGTCAGCTTCAACCATAGTGAGATTGCAGCAGTGTTAGAGTGACATTTATTTATAGGTTGTATGAGTAGTGGTGGCACCTAAATGCACGATGTGTAAGCCGAGAGAGGGGAGTTCGGTAGTAGTGAGGGTTACACAGCCTCAGCTGCGGTGATGCACAAATCTGAACACAGCTAGAGCTACAAACCAACTGAAGCTGACACCCATCTAACATGTGCTTTGGACAGGTCCATCCCATACGACAAAAATCAGTCCTTTGCGCAAGTGCCAGCACTTCTCATGCGACCCATACCTGTGCTATAAGAAATGCTGAAAATATTCCACATTGGTTTGGATACCTTTCCCACATCTTCCAAACATATTCAGCATGCACTGTAGCTGGTCTCTGGGTATATAGGACACTTCAATTAGGAATATTAATGATACACTTGTTTGAAATTTTTAAGTGGAATTACCATCAAGATGAATATTTTCTCTGAGTTTTTCTTCCATGTGTGGATTGATTTGATAGGATTTAGTTTTCACATATACCCACTGATTGAAAAGACTTGTTACATTAATTAAGTTTGACTTCTGGATCATGTGATTGCAGAGAGTGCACAACTATGATTTTGTAAGGGGTGTAGTTTAAATAATTTTGTAGCAGTTCTTGAAATTTCATTTGTTACTCCTGTTTCTTGTGCTAGGTGTTTGAGAGATGATGCTCTTCTCACTGCTGCTGTTTCATTAGTGTAAACTTGGTTCACTGTCGCAGCTGACAGAGTAACAAAAGCAGCAACCAATGCAATGGCTGCTCATAGCAGAATGACCGTAACCAGGTGCTGCCACCTAAAATCTCTGAAAAACTGTTCCTTGTTTTGTTTTCTTCCGTTTTGTGTCTCATCATGTTGTGCCATATTTCATAACTGTGGTCCCATTATTATGTGGTTTTATTGGAGTTTATCATCAATCATATGTAGGAAAACTTCAAATAAATAAGGGACAAGTTTCTGCCCTCTTATCCTTTTCATCTCAACAGTAGTAACTTGATTCCCAGTAGAAACACACAGATGATTTGTGAATACTGTATTAAAGTACTTTATTCACTTTAGATCCTGTGAACAGTAATGTCAAGATGTAAGTTTTAAGTGATTTGCCTTTCATATAAAATACCCTATTTGATTATACTGAAACAGCTATAATATTCATAAAAACATATATTTTTCTGTTGTAAACAGCAGGGTTGTGTGCTGACATATAATGTGTGAAGTCAGTTTAATTACAAAAATATTTGAAAAAGGATTCATTTGTTATTACATTGTCCATGTCCTGCAGTTTGTATTCCTTTAGTTTCTTGCAGAACTCTGCCATCCAATTACTGTGATACAAATTTAAAACTTGCTCTCCAGATGCAAAGCACATCAAAGCCACTCAGTCTCTTGTTTTGGATGATTATTGTTCTGATATATAGATTTTGTTGTTATTTTAACTATTTCCCATTCCATTTAAAATGGTGCATGGTTTTACCAATCCAGCTTTTTCAGGTGAAATGTTAAATGATTTAACTGTCAGAACTGGTTAAGAATTAAGTGCAAAGAATGCAATACCTTCACACATTGAGGTTTCTGTTGTTAAAATTTTACAGTTGATTTTGACAGTGATGGTGATGTATATATTGTTTCTGCCCTCCATTGTGTTAATTGATTAGAACACTATAGAAAAACAATATTAGAGTCCTAATCATGCCAGTGGCTAATGAATAGAATAGAATAATAAATGGTTTGTTACTTTCCATAGGCCCTTCATAGTATTAAGCCAAGGAAGCAGAACATGCCATAGTATGATATTAAGTACAAATACAATAATTAATGCTAATATAAACATAAGTACATAGTTGTTACAGATATTTATGAATAGCTTGTAAGAATGTTATACAGAGCACAATAATCGTGCCAGAGAAATATTTACAATAATAAAATAGTATGTTTTTTTTTTAAACAATATGTGATACGTGGGAGACTAATTTTGTCTCTTTATACTCATATGTTAAGGGATGAGGGCAGAAAATTTGCTTGAAGTGGTCAGTTTGTCTTTACTGACTACTGTTGTGAAATATAAATTCTTACTGAAAATCGGTATTGTGTTGGATATCCTTATTTCCTTAATCTTGAGTTACAATTATCCTGACATGATTTCTAGTTTTATTTCAGAGCATGAGTACTGTAACTGTTTATTGTTGTGATTCACATTGTCTTGGTGTGCTTACTTTGCATTTGTATGCATGGTGTATTAAAAAGCCATCTTTTGGTAGAGTCTAGTTATGCTCAGTAAAACACTGTTAATAGAAACTAAACTAATTCTCTGATATAGAGTTTGAATGTTCATCACTTAAATGAGTGCCCGTTCTTAGGTTCTTATGCCAGATTAGTTAAATTCATATGACCAAAACTTATTTCCGTAAGATCTAGTTTCATATTATCTTATTTACAGCCCAAGAGATTTAATCATAAAAAAGTATCCATTTCTTTGATAACTTTCTTCTGGGATATGGTGTCATGTAGTCTTGTAGAAGTATACCAAGTGTTTCAGAGGACCTTGCTACATCCATTATGATGATGATGATGATGATGAGTAGAGTTAGCTATCGGTGTTTTGGAGAAACATCGGTATCTACCTACAAACCAACACAGTGTCAAAACTCAGAACAGCATCATCATCCTTACTACAATGAGAACCTCAAATGTCACACTCCTTTCTTTGGGGGGGGGGGGGGGGGGGGGGAG